TACGGGCGCTGGCAAGACATCCAGAACGACGTGGCCTTCTCTATCATCAACGAGCCCTTCAAAATGGATGTCGGAAAAGGAAACTTCTTGGAGATTAAGAACAAATTCCTCGCCCGAAGATTCAAACTGTTAGAACAGGCGCTCGTGATTGAGGAACAGCTGCGAAGAGCCGCGTACCTGAACCTGACTCAAGACCCGACACATCCGGCGATGGCATTGAACGCCAGATTTGCCGAATTGGAGTGTTTGGCGGAATCGCATCAACACTTAAGCAAAGAATCGTTGGCCGGAAACAAACCGGCGAACGCTGTTCTCCACAAAGTCCTCAACCAATTGGAGGAACTATTGAGTGACATGAAGTCAGACGTGAGTCGACTTCCGGCCACAATCGCTAGAATACCTCCCGTCGCCCAAAGACTTCAAATCTCAGAGAGAGGTATAGTTTGCATATTATTACTGAATTGACATATGATTTACTAATATAACTGTTTCACAGGAATACTGTCGCGTCTGACCGGTCAGCCGCCGCCACAGCTCAATATGAGTGAACTGATGAGTGGACAGACACTTCCGCCCGCCTTCGCTAATCAGGCGCCGCCCCAGAAATGATGGCAATCATTACTAAACAAATAATTTTTAAACAATTCATTTACTATAATACTGTATAACGACATACATTAGATCCCAATCCGTGTTCTTATGTCTTTGTATTGTCTTTTATAAACAATTTTTAAAATATCTTAAATTCCTGAAAATATAACATAATTAGTTGAGTAATCAATTTTTACAGTATTTCACGACTTACTTGTCTTATAATACTATATTTCAAACCAAATTTAAATAAAAATACTTATAAAGTGATTAATAAAGTAGCGTATCAAAAAGTATTGAAACATAATAAATAAGTGATTAATAATTAAATTATTTATCAAAACATTTAGTGTTGTGTTATTCATTTACGGCTTAAATTGAAAATATGAAACGAGAGTCCAATGTCTCGAATGGTTTGTTAATTGGATTCTATCATTCAATTGTCTCAGATCTGCACTCTCTATAGTTTTACACTTTTTCTTACAAATTAATACAAACATTAGGAAACTTGTGAGAAAGCGATTCATTCATTTCACCCATCATATCGCTCAACTCTCTTTATGTAGTATAATTAGAGCAGAGATTATTCGGGAATAAAAACAACCAAATTCGGTCGGGAATCGGGAGTAAAGCAGTCAACTTCGGGAATTAACGTTTATTCAGTTCAAACACAATAATTATAGATTTAAATCACTTTAAAATGAATTATAACAAATATAATGACATAGAAAATGAAGTTTTACTTTTTAAGTCTGTCTTCTATTTGTAAGAATATTCTTAAATTGAAAGAAAAAAGTTCAACTTATTTAGTGCATATTTTGTTAGACATCTTATCTAAAAATGTTGTGGATTTTTATAATAATATTTTTAGTTTTTTTAAGGAGTGTGTTTTAGCCTATTTTGAATAAAATTTGGGGATTTTTTCTTTAAAATATGTAAAAATCGGGAATATTCTGAAAATAGGCTAAAATCGGGAATATTCTGAAAATATGCCAAAATCGGGAGTATTCGGGAAAATAAAAATGGTATATTTTTACTCCATTATAACCTCCAAGACTAACAGGATGTTATTCCCGAACATTCTATGAACTAATTTTATTCGGGAATTCCCGAAGAATCTCTTCTCTAATTATAACCTTTAATTTAATGATCAAATAAATTAACTGACATTTAGTACTAATAAACCATACAGTGTTAACAAACTATACTTTTTTAAAGGATGCGATACAAAAAGAAACGAAATCATAACAGTTATAGAAATTATAGAAAAAACAAATACACAAAATAACGAAAAATAGGAATGCTAGATGAAATGTACTTTAATGCCAAAACTCTTTCTACTACTTTGTGTACATTACTGTATAAATACGACGAAATGGACTCATGTTTCGCAATAATTTAAAATCAATGTCTTCTTAGAAATCAGACGACGAAAGAGAGAAAGAAAGAAAGAATTGACGCAAACTTTGATTTATGAAAGAATTTTGTTTATACAAAAACATTGTCTCTAAAGAAGATTACTATTAAAGAGAGGATTGCATGCAATGAGTGTTCATTAATAGAGTATAACAGAAACGAATGGAACTACAAGTCCAACACCGGAACAGTTGTCTACTTCTGGTGCTTATGGTTTGGTTGTCAGGGTTTTGTTATTCTCATAATACCTGACAATCATTTATATACAGAAACGACACAAATCGATAAAACCAAACCAATTCAGTCATACAAAAATTATTTTCAATTTTATGTTTAATCTATTATTCAATTATTAAATAAATATATTTTTATATTATTCTTTTGGCAAATATTAAATTTACAAATAATTTTCTTTTAAAAAAATTCTTGATTTGATAAACAAGTAGTTTTTATATTATTGTTTGAAATAAATTAGTTAATGGAAAGGACTTTATTTAATGATCTCATTTGTTGTAATTCATTATTATTCACGAGTGCTTATAATTAACTTATCTGCTGATGCTTTGACCCAATTTGCGATTATTAACTCACTCTACGCTCACTCTCACAGTTAACTCATCCTTTCCAACAGTTTTTTCACTCAAAATCCACACCTTTTTTATCCGATTTAAAGGAAATAATGATTATTAAGAAAGAATTTAATGCTCTTTTATATATGAGACATAAGTGCTATAACTAATAGCAATCATCACTAATGAACGGCAACTTTAATGGCAATAATTTGAACGGAGTTTCCAGAGCTTTACAGGAGGCCAGCGATCGGAAGGCACGGAAATTAACGTTTTATAAAAATGGTGAGCCTTTTAGCAATTGTATCACTGTTTCCATACTTCCCGGGAGAGACTTCCGAACGATGGAACAGTTGTGCACTTATTTAACCGATAAAATCAAGATTGCAAATGGAGTTCAGTATATATTCACCACAACTGGTCAAAGGGTATTGACGTTGAATGAATTGGAGCATGGTCAAAGTTATGTGGTTTCCGGCTCCAAGAATTTCCATTCCCTAAGCAATATTCCTTACGGACAGAACAACAACCGACACAAACCAAATGCTATCACTTTTAATGCATTCAATGAAAAGACAAGAGCCTTCAAAGAAGACGATTTGAAACTATTGCGTCCGCTTTCATCCAAATTCAATACCGTTTATCATAACATCAATCAACCGATTAATACCTCATACAGAGAGGGAAGGATTATAACTATTGTCAATAATAAAGACCACAAATTGAGATCAAGAGTGTTGTTAAATCTGAAAAGTCCAAAATCTTTTGACATTATTCTCAAAGATTTAGGACAAGCGGTCAGAATCAAGAATGCAAAACGAATGTTCACTGCATCCGGACATGAGGTTTGTTTAATGTTAATTTTTTTTATAAAACACGAATAATTAAATATTTAACTAGAATAAAAGTTAGAATTTAGCAAAATATTTTTTATTGTAATTTATAACATATATTGAGTTAAACAGAGTATTGTATCTCTATAAAAACTACTTTTTTTTATCGTGCAATGAATTTGTATTAAATCTAATGTTCTAGACTTTATATTATACATTCACAGAATGCTATTCAGAATATACTGTATTCTTGTTTAAATATTATATTTAATTCGTAAAAGTTACTTAGAACTTAGATTTTTTAGCTTTTTTTGATATTTTTGAATAAAATTCAAAATATACAACAAGTAAATCTAGAAAACTAATTGCTTTCAATATTTTTAATGTTTGTTGAACTCAAAATGAAATTTTATAATTTATGACATAAATATATTGGACAGTTATTTATGTTACATTTATGTTACAGTTATATTATTAATCGTTAAATCTTATTAACGTTAATTTTATTATTATTTTATTACAGAGAGAGAGAGAGAGAGAGAGAGAGAGAGAGAGAGAGAGAGAGAGATTTATGTATTGAATTGTCCTATTCTGTTACATTATAACAAAATTATTATGTCTAAAGTTTATTAATATTATGTAATGTAACATTACTAATGTACCCATTCATGCACTTTATTCATGCACTTTATTCATGCAGTATTTATAAAAGTTTTGGCTTTTTTCTCATGATATCTCTAATATTGTCATATTATTGCATACATTAATTCATTAGATAACATACATTATTAATGACATTAATATAATATATAAATGTTTAATTGAATATTAGGTCCGAAGTGTATCGCAATTAAAACGAGATATGATTGGAATTGAATTGTTTTATTTGGAGTCCGAAAACTCAAACTCATCTCAAATTCATGTGAAATCTCAATCATTGGAATCCATTAATCAAACAAATGGTTCCAAACGTTTCAGTGCTTCCAATGATTACACAAATAAGAAAATTCATAACAAAAATTTATCACAACTTGAATCCACTTCTGAACACAATTCAATTCATACCTTTAAGCGAACGGATTCTAGTAATTTCTCAGGTATTTTCAAATTCCTATATTTTACCGCACATTTCACTAATATACCAAGCATCATTATAATTCATCAACATATTTTATACTATATTTAAATTGCGCATAGTGCTGATTTATAAATTCACATCTCTCATATACTGTCACATTGTAAAGCATTGCAATGCATAAAGAATATATAAAATAGTCACATCAAACCAAACTCGTAAAGAACACTTTCCTGTTAAACACCAAAGGTTTTTAAAATAAAACTTTGAGGCAGTTATGATGCTGTTATCTAAAGTTTAGATTCTAAACTGTGATAGAGTTCTGTATTTGTTATTATTTATGTTATTATTTAGTTATTACGATATATATATTAACTAGGATCAAAAATACACCTCACTACTCCTCACACCTAACCCTTATGTTGTAATCTATACACTATTCATATGTTAGTTAAATATAAAGTAGTGTACTCTAATATAAAGGACACGTCGGTTATTCAATAATGAATAATATTCTCTATTTTGCTCTGGCTTGTTTTTAATATATATTTGGTATAAAAATTGACAAATAACTTAATCTGTAAAACAATAGTTTTTTTTATAATTTCAAATGTAATCATCATTTTAGGAGTAAGCGGTCATTCAGAATCTGCTTTCAATACTTTAAATGAAATTCAATTTATTAATGTTTATTAAATATTTGATGTGTTTATACGACAATTGCAGACATAAACCCGAGCCGTCGCGGAGAGTCATCTCTGAGTGAAAAAATTAGCCTTAATATGGAAACAATGATTGAAAATGAATTCGTGAATCGCTCTAAAACTTGCGAAACTCAAACCTCACCTGATTTTGCGAAATCCAATCGAAGAAAAGTTAAGAATTTGAAAGAACTTAAAGAGAATAAAAACCATTTTTCCAGTGATAATGAAGTCGAGGAGAATATCGCTCAAACATATCTCAGGAGTTATTTAGAAAACGCCCTTGCTACATCTCCCAAGCTTAGTCCTATACATGATATTCATACACCACAGCATGAGATCAAGTCTTTGGGCCAAAACTCACATTTTGTTCATAATTCTACTCAAAAGTATAAAAGAAATGAAAATCAAAATAAAAAACAAGAAGTAATTAAAAGTAAAAAGTCTCACAAAACAAAAACGAATGAAAATTTAGCACAAAAAGGAGTTCTTAATGCAAATATGGAGACAATAAACGACACTTTGAGAAGAGATACTCTTCACGAATACGCCGAAACACTTCTGAGAGAAACTGCATTTTTGGTACAAAACGAGAGTTTAAAAAACGACTCAATTGAAAGTAAAGGAGAACTGAAAATGAAGTCTCAAAGTGTTAGAAATACTCCGAAACAAACACCAATCAAAATGAATAATATTTCTAACTTACATTCAACGCCAAACTCGAGACTTTCGGAAAAAACAGTGAAATATGAAAATGAAATGATTGTCAAAAATAAAGCCGAAACTGAAAGCGAAGAGGAAGAAGACGGCATTGGAAAGAATGTGCCAAATGATAGTATAACAAAATCTTTGCCCAATATTTCATCGCCAGTAAATAAACCCAATATTATAAGTAGTATAAGTCCTATCAAATTAAAAGACTCGACACCTAAACGACAAATTGGCCGCAATTTGAAAGATCCGGTCGAATATTTAAAGGATGGCAATGATATTCCCACTAAATATCTTCAACTAAATTGGGTGTAAGTTTTTATCGAAATTCAAATTCTCTTCATTTGTTTTATGGATGATTTATCTATTATTTAAGAAACAGCGTAAAAGTTTTAATGATAATTATAAATTGACAAAATTCTATGGAATAACACATTAAATATTATTTTTATTAATTTTAAAGACATGGCTTTAATGGAAGCATACCAAGTGTTTTAAACAAATAATACAGTTTGCCTCTAAACCGAAAGAAACACCCTTGTCAACGGCATGAGACCTTAGGTCTTTTGTTATAAGTTTCTAATATATGTAATGTATGATTGCTGTATTTCCGGTAATTTTTTTATTAACCATTAACAAAATTACTATAATTTTCTAAATAAGATATTATTGTATGATTTATAAATCAATTCTCTTAAAATAATTTGACTAAATTCTTATTTACAATTAAAATGACAATTTAATTATTTATTACAAAAAACTATGACCACTAGAATGGCTATCCGTAAGAGTAAAAACATAGTGGCCACGAGCCAAGAGGCGGGCGGAGGCGAGCCGTTTGCAGTATGTATTAAAAAACTATCAAATGTGTGAAAAGTGTGTTTTAAATCTTTATAAATTAATTGAAACACATAAAAGGTTGTGAGAGTTTGGTCGGCAAAAGATCTGCAAACTTATGCTGTTTTGACACAAAATATTTTCGGTCCGGCGATCACTGCAATGGATCTCTCAATTCAGGTTTACATTATTATATTTTGGTTATATTACTTGTTATTAACTCCAATTAATCACATTTATAGGGCTCTCTTTTAGTCATAAGTGGTGAACAATCGCTTAATTTATCGATTTGGGACACAAAGACTTCTGAAATAGTCAACAGTTCCAGAGTATGACTACATATTAACAAAATTTAATGAAAATATTATAAAAAATTTGTGTGAAAATGACTTTTTATAGAAAGAATTAAAAGGTGGAGAGAATGTGAGGGGAACGGCATTTCACCCGACAGAAGATGACATTATGGCCACGTATGGCAACAAACACTTGACTATTTGGCAAAGAAAAAGGGACGGAACTATAGATAGTCGGACAGCCATTAAACCGGTAATGAGTGATAAAAATAACATTTTTTGTAACAATAATTGTCTAAAATACAAATTTATGAAATAGGACTTGAAAACAGCAAAATCAATAAATTGTGTGGACTTTTTGCCGGATCACAGCCTATTGACGGGAGACACGACCGGAACGCTTACTATTTGGGCGCCTCTCGAGGACGAGAACGGAATTCTTGAATTTGTAGTCAAAGAAGTTAAAGGACACGAAGTAATGCTTTAAATGTTTGTTTTAAAAATTTAAATAACATTAAAATTCTTGATTCATAATATTGTAGAAATCGTTGACATGTCTTCAACTTTTGCAAAATAATATCTTAATTAGTGGCGACAGTGAGGGCACTGTTAAGACATGGGATGTCAACGACGAACAATTCCGACTTTTAAATGCTATTAAAGTAAGAAAATTGGATAATTATTTATATTATATTAATTGAATATCTTGTACTGACAGTTACCACCGACGAGTGGATCTATTACTGTTATAACAAGAGTTCATTATCCCGACGCCGAGAGCGATGCTATTGAGATATATATCGGAACTTCAATGAATCTCATTCTCAGGGGGTCTGCACTTCAGGCCACAAATTATTCTGTGATTTTTGAGGTTTGCGGACAATAATTAGATTCTTAACAAAAATATTTATAATACAAAAAAATGTATTTATTTATATTACAAAAAAGGGTCATTCGTTGGCAGTAAGAGGACTAGCAGTGGACCCGAAGAATGAATCCTTTTATAGTTCAGCTCTCGATCAGAAAGTATGTAAATGGAGTTCATCTAACCTCGTTTGGCGGACAACAACAGAAGTAATGATAAATGCATTTTATATAATAAATTATTATTAATAAAATAATATGAATACTGTTATAAATTATAAATACCATTACCTTAGAGTCAATGCGTTTCAGCAGCTGTTCATCCGAGTGGTGAGGTGTTAGCAATTGGATCAGTTTCGGGAACAATATTTATAATGAACACAAATGATGGTAATATTGTATCACAACTACCCGTTTCCCAAGTGTGCATCGGATGTCTGGCGTATTCACCCGAAGGGGACCTTTTGGCGGCCGGTTGTCAGGACGGCATACTCTATATATTGCCTGTTCTCGACAACGGCTTCTCTTATGAAAAAGTATCGGTTCTAAAGGTATAACATATTTTTGAATAAACAATTGACATTAAATTGGGTTCAATGCCAGATCTGGGCATTAGTATTAGCTACAAAATGAACAATTTAAAAATTTGTTAAGTTTTTGAAATTACAATTAGTTTTATTCAAATTGTCATATTCGTTTTCTATATCTCCATAAAAAGC